AAACTAGAAGAAGAACAAGTTAAAGAAACTATGACTGCTTGGGGGAAGAATTTTGGATATGGGATCGATTTAGAGAAATGGCAAAAATTGTGGTCTCAAAATTATATATGTATAAGATGTTTTACAGGTGGCACTTTCCCCCGACAAGAATAGCAAGAATGTTCAAGAATAAATCTGAAAAATGCTGGAAATGTCATCAGATACCTGGCTCATATTACCATATGTGGTGGACTTGTGAGGACGCTAGAAAATACTGGACTAAAATTCGCATGTGGTTGGAAAAAATGACAAAGAAACACATAGACTTGAAACCAGAGATCTTTTTATTGGGAATCTTACCTGATACATATAGTAAAGATTTGAAATACCTGATTGTAAATGTATTAACAGCGGCTAGGATTGTATTTGCTAACAACTGGAAAAATGAGAAAATACCATTGCAGGAAGAAATTATTAAGAAAATATTGGAATGTGCTGAAATGAGTAGATTGACATTTGAAATTAGAGAACAAGAGGATAAACAATTCTATAAAATTTGGGACCTTTTCTACCAATGGTTAGATAATAAAATACAATAATAGAATATTTAGAATTTTAGAAAATAATGAATATGTAAAGATTTATTTCTTTTCTTGTTTGATATTGTATTTATAAAATGCTATTAGGATAGATTTGGTATGACTATATGATTTGTTACAAAATAAATTAAGTAAACTATAGTTATCTCGTAAAGTATGAATGAATAAAATCATGGTCAGATGATTGTTTAATAGTGATACTAGGGTATATAATTTCTGATTGACAATATGAGATATTATGTAATGTAATTGTAATTGAGGCCACGAAACGGATGCACAAAACATTGGTAAACCAACCGATACACTGTTTGTATATTTATGAAAGAAAGTTGGATGTTTTTATGTTTTGTCTGTTTTTAAAAATCAATAAAATTGTTTTAAAAAAAAAAAAGAGTTGCAGATTACAGGATAGTTTTTTCCTGAAACCAAATTGTTTATTGGAGAGTAGGTTGTTTGTCTCTAAGTGGAGGATAATGGATTGGTTAATAATTGATTCCATGACTTTACAGGTGATGCAGCATAATGAGATTGGTCTGTAATTTTCAACTAGGCTGGGGTCTCCCTTTTTGAAGATGGGGATGACCGTGGCTTGTGACCATAGGTTAAGCAAGGAGCTGGTCCTGAAAGATTTTTCAAAGATTATGGTTAGAGGTTCGGCTATGGCAGTGGATAGCTTTTTTAAGAAGTAGGCACATATTCCATCCGGTCCAATAGATAGAGATGATTTTAGATTGTGTAGTGCTTTTTCAACATTGTCTTCTGTAAAATCAACATGTATTAGATCATTGTTGTTGTCTGTGGTTCGGCTAGGAAATACTGGGCATGATCCTTTGCTGTTTACAAATACTGAGCTGAAGAATGTGTTGCAGTCTTCACCATTAGGTCCTATCAGGGGTGGGATGGACCTTGAGTCTTTTAGTTTGTTGTTTACAAAATTGTAAAAAGTGCGGGTGGAATTGGTGCATAGAAGGTTTTCCTCTTGTTTAATGTGATCATTGGTGCATTCAGTCTTTATCTGGTGGCATAAATTTTTGTATCGGCTTTTGAAATTGGCAACGTGACCAGATTTGTTTATCCGCCAGAGTGATCTCTTTTTGGATTGAAGTTTCCTTATTGTTATGGGTAATCTGTTTGTTTGTTTTTTCGTTTTGGGAGTTGGTGTTGGTACATATAGTTTGATGACTCTTTTGACTTCAAGTAAAAATGTGTTGTAATGGTCTTCAACAGTATTGCATCCAGTGAATAGAGATTGCCAATCAAGGGATGAGAGATCATTGTCTATAAGATCATAGTTGCCTTTTTTGAAGTTATAATTGGGGATTATGTCATTGTGATGATTTTTGTGTGGGCGTATGTTGAGACAAAAGTCAATCATATTATGGTCACTGCTTGAAAAGGTTCTTTAGTTTGTATTCTGTAAATTAAATTCAAACTTTTGCAGAAGATGGGATCGAGGCAGTTGTTTAGTCTAGTGTTGTTGGTTACTAGTTGTTCCAGTCCCAGATTTGCAACAGCATTGTAGAAGGTTGCGTGTATGGGTTCAGCTGTACATTTGTTTAGGGTCCAATTAAGATGAGGTAGATTGAAGTCACCAAGAAAGATAAAAGTGTGTGGGCAGGATGCTGCCCATGTTAGTAGTGTATTTAGCTTGTTTACATGTTCGATGTCATAATCAGGTGCTCTGTAACATAGTAAGGATCGAAATGTGATATTTAAGGATAGCTCGCAGATGATGGTCTCAGGAAGAGCAAGCTCCTGGGTAACTTGGATGTTTTTTAGATGTAAGGACTTTTTATAGAAGATAGCAACACCACCTCCTCTACAAATTTCACGATCTGATCGGTAAACATGATAGTCTCTTACTGTGGTAATGGAATCAGGGAGAGATGCGTTGAGCCATGTTTCACAAACAAATATGATGTTGAATTTAGCCATATTTAGTAAGAGGAGAAATTCAGGTATTTTATTCGCAAGGCTTCTTGCATTGAGTAGCTTGCATTTAAGGCCAGCAGTAGTTGGAATTGAGGTAATTAGGGGCATGCGTGCCTAGACTTGGGTGATGGAGGATTGGTTGAGGTAGGGTTGTGGTTGAAAGTTAAAGCTGAGTTGCGGGTTGTGTGACTTACTTTTGATACAGTCAGCATGGTAGTCAATGTACAGGTCCTTCTCTCCATTGTCTAGATGTTTTTTGAGTTCAGTGCGGAGTACACGGGAGCGGGCATGTTGCTGTATGGTTAGGTCAGGGCGACAATGGAGGTTCTTATGGTTGGTGTTGGGTTTGGTGAGTGAATTTATAGTGGAAATGAATTTACATTTGCTTGATTCATTTTTGCAAATGACCCTGCAGAAGCGTGGGACCACAGAACCGTCTCTGTTTTTGAGCTCTCGGCCAATGTGGGAAATGTCAAGTATTTCATCAGGGGAGATGGTTGATGCTTGATAATCACTGATGATGTTTCGGACAGTTGTGATGTCATCATTATCATTGATGTCTTCTAGACCAAATAAGATGGCGTTTGGATGTTTCCGTTCACTCTCAACAGCTTCTCTGATGAGGATTGGGATATCATTATTTGTCTGGCTTATGTTTTTTTGTGGATTGGGTTGTGGATTGGGTTGTGGTTGTTGGGTAGAGATGTGGTTTGTAGCTATTGGATATTCAGGTTTTTGCATTGTGTCTTTTTTTTCAAGGTTGGATAATCTTTCTTTTAAGGAGTCTAGGGATGCTACTATGGTGTCAAGGGATGTTATTCATGTTTCAATGGTATCAACTCTTTTCAACAGATCCAGTTTGGGTCTGCATGATTTGCAGATATGGAAACTCATTGGATGATTCTAGGTATTGAATCATTTGCTCGGGTAATCCCAAGCAGTCATGATGAACGTATTTGTTACATAGAGAACATTTGATGGAGTTTTCATTATCCTTTAGAGTTTTGTTGCATTTAAGGCATGTGCAGGAGTCTTGTGGTTCATTGGTGGGGATTGCATTATTAAAAAAATGTTGAGACTCTAGAAAAAGTACAGAGAAGAGCAACCAGGGGACTGGAGACTAAAAAATACGAAGAACGGTTACAGGAACTGGGCTTGGCTAGTCTGTTGAAGAGAAGGACCAGGGGAAACATGATAGCAGTCTTCCAATATTTGAGGGGCTGCCACAGAGAAGAAGGAGTCAAGCTATTTTCTAAAGCGCCTATAGGCCAGGCAAGGAATAATGGATGGAAACTGAACAAGGAGAGATTTAACCTGGAAATAAGGAGAAACTTTCTGACAGTGAGAACAATCAACCAATGGAACAGCTTGCTCTCGGAAGTTGTGGGAGCGTCATCACTTGAGACTTTCAAGAAGAGATTGGACTGCCATTTGTCAGAAATGGTGTAGGGTCTCCCGCTTGGGCAGGGGTTGGACTAGATGACTTACAAGGTCCCTTCCAACTCTGATTATCTGTTATCTGTTAACATTATAGAATGCTTTGTCAAGATGCTAGCTAACAGTTTTACAAGTAGTTTCAAGGCAAATGCAAACAAACTTTATCTTTGCAAAGTACTGTACTTACAAGCAATAGTTTGAAAAGTATAGTACTTAAAAAGCAGAGCAGTTCCCAAAGTGCTTACAAACAGTGCAGTCCTATAGAATAACAAAAAAAGAATATTTTAAAATACTTACAGAAACAATTCTAGTACTCAATTCTTGCCCTTGTCCTCAATCCCACACATTAAAAAAATAAAAAACCAAAACCAAACTCAGCGCTGTGTCAGCTGCAAAAATCACTTGATTTTGTTTGGCTATGTGACCAGGGACAAAAAAAGGTGGGGAGGGAACCTGCCAGCTTCAGTTAAAAATGGCCACCGCTGTAGCAGTGACTGAGTCCAAGTCACATGGCTAGAGAGGCCTCTTTTTGGTTGCAGTTTTGAATTTCTAATGTAAGTACCCTTTCTGAATAAATTTGTTTTTGTGAAAATTTGCTAAATGAAGGTTTGTACCTGGGTAATTACCTGTGTTGTTTAGTTGTTCAATAGATAAATTGTCTTCCCTTCATTTTATCACAACCACAATCCTATGAGATAAGGGAGAGCTGAGAGAATGGGACAAGCCCCATCACTCAACGAGTTTCCATATCTGAGAATGGATTTGAACCAAGGTGTCTCCAATCCTAGTCAAGCACTTATCCGCTATATCACACTGGTAATAATTCTGTAGAAGGATTCTTGGTTTATTTTTCATCTCAAAGAAAAAAAGTAAACCAGCTGCTTGGAATTCTACACAAAAAGTTTAAATTTGAATTCTATTCATACGAAGGAAGTTCTGCAAGACTTTAACTAGATACAGTAAATGATGCATAAACCTCTTTGACCATGATACAGTGTTGATCATGACCATTTCCACACAAATTCAGCAAATGCCAGCATCAACTACACTTACCTGGGATATTTAACCTTTAGTTTATTCAGTTTCTTGAGAATAATGTCATCAGCCCATGCCTCAATCTTTTCTTTTTTCAGTCGGATTAGCTCAACTCCTTGACTGACCATAACAATGACACGATTGTCATCCAGATTTACCTAAGAAATACAAATGGTACACCTTGGTCAGCATATATCATGGGCAGTGACCATAAGTTCTTGGTTATAGAGAGCATTATTTCAGAAAGCTATTCTTTGGATTTATTTTTCAAAAACTCACTTTTGTCCTTTATTTTGGTCATTTAACTTTTAACATTCAAAGAGTACCATTTAATGCACAGTCTGCAAAAATACTTGCTTCTAATAGTGTATTTTTATTAGAACATGTGTTTTTGTAAAAATTGTCTTGGTTTTCCTCTTGAATCTTCCTTTATAAAGCAAAGTTATAACATAAGCAGTTAAACATTTTTATCCTTATGAAGGTCTCTGATTTCTCCTTTTTACATGTTTGTCCTTTATTTTTTTCCAAGAAAATGCGGTTATTGTAATCATGGAGAAGCTTTTGAATGTTTCCAATGGTCCAACGGAATATTGGGCAGGGAGGATTCCAGTGCCGTATATAGACGAAAAATATATACCACTTCCATATAGGTTCAGATTTTTCACAAAATCTAACCTTAAATCTTTAAACTTATATATTTTTCATGATACAAGGAAAGATGCCCAGCAACTGCCATTGTAATTGCTGAGTAAATATCAGCATCTTCCTATCCCACTATTCCTATTCATTGGGGTATTATAGAGCTAAATCTACAATCTAAATTGCTAAGAATTAGAAATAATTAGAAATAATTAAGATTAAGTGTTCCTAGAGCAGTTGTTTGTCACCAACGTAATGTGATTAGATTGAAGTCCAGCAGGTGGAGATATATATATATTTATATTTATATATTAAGAATATATATATATTCTTAAGTTTTCACGGGTACTTACATGTATGGCATTCAGCTTTGTTCGGGTATTTTCCCACGTCATTGTAGCTGTGCTTTTAAAGTTTTAGCAACGTTTCGGCCGAATCTCATCTGCCATCATCAGGCTTCTGTATAGTGTTCATCTGTGAGTCAGACTTTTAGAGTGGTTTCAGATTTAAATTTGGGGCAGCCTATTGCTGTGCCAGAATGGTTTTTTCTTCATCCTGATTGGTTGGGAGTCTTGGTCTGTGTTTATTGGTCTTGGAGTTTGCTGTGTTCTGCTTGATTGGTGTTTCTAATATCTTCTGTCTGTTTTGTGGCTCTTTTTGTATCTTGAATGGCTGGCAACATTGTGTTACTTTATTGGAGGCCTTTAGTGCAGCTTGGCTTTGGGTAAATGGACGGCTATCATTTGTTAGGAAGCTAGATTTCATCTGGGTGCCTGGTTGGGGCGTGTTTGAGCTGGAGGTATCAAGGGGCATCTGTTTGTGCCCAGGTGTTTGCCTGGCTAGTGGTGTGGAGATTTTTTTGTTTGTGAATGCAGGCTTCCAAATGATTGACAGTCTGGTGGAATCATCTCTTCTATTCATGCTTTCAGGTCTTTTTTCAATCTCTATGGCTTCTCTGATGATTCTGTGGCTGGGGTTTTCTATAGTGGGTAGGTTTTTGGTGCCATTGTGCGGCTCGTTATCTGGGTTTGTAGACAGATTCTAGGAAAGCTGCCAACGACTACAGAGGAAAGTTAACTCTGTTGTTCCTGATATTGTCTGTTCGTGTTTATTCCTTTGGGACCTTTGGACTCTCACCTTGTGGCTACAGGTGAGACAGAACATTATATATATATATATATATATAGGTCAATGCTTGTTTTGAGTTCTTGTATTCCTTGTATAATCGTCGCTAGATCCATTTGTACTTTATCTTGCTTCGCCATTATTGATAGTCGTCCTCCAGTTGATGGAGAAGCAGGAGCAGAAGTTGAACTGCCAGAAGGTAAAGTTTTCTTACTTATTTGAATAACTCAAGATCTTTAAGCTCCTTTAATCCAATCAATAGGGTAGCCAATTATAATCCAATTGGGAAGAAGAAAAACATTAAAAAAAGCCAATAAAAAATAAAGAGTCCAGGATTAAAAAGAGAAGGAGAAAAAGAAGATTAAAAAGAAAAAAAAAAGGAGGAGATTCTTAGCACTTGGAAAAGAAATGGCATTCTGCACCCAAGCCACCAACGGATCGTGCAAACGCAGCTAGGACACACCGAGAACCAAAGGGAGATGAAGGTTCGAGGTGATATAAAAACTTATCGCCTCCTCATGATCCCCAATGATCATACGCACTGGCTGGGTGGCGAAACGAATGGGCCCAGACTTGAGCTCACGCCCATCCACGGTTTCCACCTTAATGGGTGGATCCACAGTAACCAATGGAATCTCGTAGTGCGTAGCAAAAGCTCGGTCCATAAAGCTGGTTGTAGCCCCTGAGTCCACCAACACAACAGCGGGAATTCCCTCCTTCTGGGACTGTAAAAAGATTCGAGTGTCCAAAAGTAAATGCCGAGGAGGGCCAGGATTTGCTTCAGCAATTTGAGGTGGGGATGTGAAACGTGCCCGACCTAGGGTTTCCTTGAGGTCAGGTCTACCCTGTTTTCCTGACGAGCCAGGAGTGGTTTCAGGTACGGGTCTACGGGTCCCTCTCCGTTTGCAGGAATTAACAAAATGACCCAGATCCCCGCAATAAAGGCACAAGCCTTCCTGAAACCTTCTCGAACGTTCTCACACCGTTAAGCGAGGGTGGAGTGCTTCCAACTCCATCGGCTCCTCCGTCTTAATCGTGGTTTGTGAACAAAAAAGAGAAGGTGGTTCCACAATGGGCCATCTGCTTCCGCACTGTTGTAAATAGGCTTCAATACGTAAGCACTGTATCACTAGTGCATCCAGGGTTGAAGCCCGCTCTGCATGTACTAACTCATCCTTAATGGCATCAACCAAGCCCTTCTGAAATGCATCCATGTGGGCCGGTTCATTCCAGTTAGAGTCCATACAGAGTAAACGAAATTCTGCAATGTATTCCTGCAGGGAACGTTTCCCCTGTTTAATGTCCCATAACTGTCTAGCCACAGTTTGACTTTTAATTGGGTTTTCAAACATAACCCTCATTTGTTGCAGAAAACCCTGAAAATTATCCAATAAAGAGCTATCTTGAGTTAACAAGGGAGTAGCCCATTTGGCAGCCTGCCCAGACAAAAGGCTAATAATAAATCCTACCTTAGCCCGGTCATTTGGAAAGTCTTCAGGCCTCAAGGACATAAATAATTGACACTGCCCCAGAAATGCCGGAAACATGTCCATTTGTCCTGAAAATTTCTCTGGCATGGATACCAGGCTTTTCCTCAAGGGAGGGGCTGAAGGAGCAGCAGGAGTTTGCAAACTTGAAATATGATTCACCAACTGGGTTACCTGGTTTTGGAGGGTCTGGTTACTTTGTAGCAGCTGGTTTATTTGTTGCTGTTGCTGCTCCACCAAATGCTGCAGTTGAGTTGAATCCATCTCAGTTTGAAGATGGTTTGTTTGGGCTTGGAAGCAAAAATGTTATGTCTCACCTATGTTCATAGATGAGAAGACAAGGTTTCAGAATTCAAAATATTCAAGCAGAAACAAAACCGGATTCAAAAGGGTTAATTAACACTGTTTTCCAGTCCTTGGCAGACTTCCCGGAACCTGTCAGGCTAATCAGAATTGTCCATAACTCACAAGGCCACTCCAAATATATTCTTCTGACTCATCAAACACTTTGCTTCCAAGCAAAGCTTGAGAGTCAGCACGCCTCTTTAAATCACCTGGATAGGCGTATCAGTCTCTCCAATCAATGTCTGGCCTGACGCCTCCCTTCAGATTGATGTTTCCTGGTTCTCCTAGTTCTGGCGTCAATCCACGATCTGTCAGTTTCCTCGCTGGAAACTTCTGTCTCATTTTGTTGATCATTTGCTGGCATGAACGAAGTCGAAGGTTCTGGGGAGGATTGCCTCTGCGACAATCTCTCATCCTCCTGGCTCACGTCTGTGTCCTCTGATAATTCAGACTCCACATTCACAGCAGGCTCCAACCTTCCATCTTCAGAGTCATCAGAGTCAAAACTCCCAGCAGGATCGATCCTTCCAGTCACAACACACACACACACACACATATTATTCTGGTTGAAACTATGGTTTTCTTCCCCCCCCCCATGGTGCTTGGTCTTTAATCAATTTTTACTTTTTAAAAATGGAGGGTTCCCCCCCCCATGTCTATTTATTTATTTATTTAGGTTTGTCAAGCATTTATGAGAAAACAAGTATAAGTATGAACATAATATATACACATATAAGTATAAACAAATATATACATAATAAATGAGTACGAATGGGAACAGTAGGACCGGGACAGTAAGTACACTGGTGTGCTTAAGCATGCCCCCTCTTAGGAATGAAGTGAGGTCCACGGTAGACAGTTTAAGGTTTAAGGTTTAAGTTTTGGGGGTTTGAAGATGTAACAACAGAGTCAGGTAGTGAGTTCCAAACATTGACCACTCTGTTGCTTAAGTCGTATTTTCTGCAATCAAGTTTGGAATGGTTTACTTTGAATTTGTACCTATTGTTTGCCCATGTGTTATTGTGGTTGAAGCTGAAGTAGTCATTGACAGGTAGGATGTTGTAGCAGACTATTTTGTGTACTAAGCTTAGGACAGACCTTAGGCAGCATAGTTTTAAGTTGTCTAGGTCGAAAATTTCAAGCCTGGTGGCATAAGGTAATCTATTGCAAGCTGAGGAGCGGAGTATTCTTCTCATGAAATAGCTCTGAACTTTGTATTAATGTCCATTATACAGTGTGGATTCCAGACAGATGAGCTGTATTCAAGAATTGGTCTGGCAAAGGTTTTGTATGCCCTGGTTTGCAGTTCAATGTTACCAGAGAAGAAGCTTTGCAAAATTAGGTTAACAACCCTTAATGCCTTTTTTGGCAATGCTGTAACAGTGAGCTCTGGGGCTTCGATCTTTTGAAATGAGTATTCCTAGGTCCTTGACAAAGTGAGGGTCATCTACAAGGTCGTATCCTCCCAGTTTGTATTTAGTGTTCTGATTTTTGTTGCCAATGTGTAAGACAGAGCATTTATTGGTTGAGATTTGAAGTTGCCAATTGTTCGACCATTCTGAAACATAGTCAAGGTCGCTTTGTATAGCAGCAGTATTGTCAGTGATGTTAAATAGTTTTACGTCATCAGTGAAGAGGATGCAGTTGCTTTTAATATGATCGCAAAGGTCATTTATGTAAATTAAAAAGAGAGTGGGTCCTAGAATGCTGCCTTGGGAGACACTGCTATTAACCGGTGCTGGGTTTGATAGGGCACTCCTTATTTTGACTACTTGTTGCCCGTTTGACAGGAATGCAGCTATCCATTTGTGCAGTGATCCAGAAATGCCATAAGAGCATAGCTTTAACAGTAGTTTGTCGTGTACCATTGAATCAAAGACTTTGCAGAAGTCTATGTAAATGGTGGAGTTGTATAGTCCAAATGTTTTTGCAGGATAGGAATTGTAGAGGCATTTCTAGTCATTGATCCTGATAAAGTACTACATGCACATACACACAGCCCTCAAATGGCTATTAAAATATATAATAAATGGGGGAGAGGGGAGGAGCTGGCATCGCGATGGTACGGTCTGCAATCGAGCTCTAAGATTGCAGCCGATATCTTCGCCCCTGGCCGGTCCAAACGGACCTAAAACGTCCCGCAGAGACGGTGATCATGAAGGGCATATCCTGTGGATCCCAGGGACACTGCAAAGTCTCTGGTTGATCCAGGAGAAGTCCTTTTTGCCGGCAGCGAAGAGGCAGCCCCAAAGCTGCTGAAGTCGGGACAGCTCCGGAAAGGAAGAGGCTGAAAGAGAAAGTGTGTTGGCTGGGTGAGAATCCTCTTTTTACTAACATTTTGAGACTTGAAAGGACACTCTGAGTATAAGAAGAAACCTGTGAGATTTTTGACAAAACTGAATAAGCGGCAACTTTTAAAGGGAGACGTCAAAGTGAGGCTTGGCTTTTTTTCCCCTTACTCTTTTCTTTTTTTTTTACTGGACTTTTTTGTGACTTAGCAGTTAACCGGACTAAATTTTCTTTTATATATATATTTACTTTCTTATTCTCCTTCTTGATTTCTTAATTTTTTTTAGACTAGAGGCTCCCTTTGGTTACTTTTCTTTTTATATATACATGTATATATTTTCTCTTCTTTTTTAACCTCAATTACGTTTTCCTGGGAGGAGGGGGAAAGTGAGAATTAAGAAACTTTGTAACACTGCCAACTAGAGGCTTGAAAATATTTTACTTGAAGTGGAGAGAACTGTGAAAGACTCCTTCTCAAGGACATTTCAACTTGATAAGATAGAGGGAAGAGCGCGGCAGAATATTATTACAGGTGTTCTTCTGGACTTCTATCAACAATTTAACACTTGAGGCTTGGCTTTGAAACTTGTGGAGAAGAGAGTCATAATAAGAGCCTGGGACAATTAAATAAAGTGCAGTGTGTTTTCTTATCTTCTTTTAGTTGTATTATCCCTCCTTACCAGCTTTACTGTAAACTTTTATTTTAGCAATATTTTTATTTTTGCTTTTTATTTTAAAGGGAAAGCCTCAGAATTTTTCTCCTTTTCTTTTTTTCCTTTTCCATTGGGATTTTTGCTTTTTCCATCCATGTTCTTGGACTATTTAGGTTTCTTTCTATTGAGATTTTTTAACTGGATTAAGGTGTGAAGAGCCTGAAGAAATTTTTCTTTTGTTTTGTTCTTTTTTTCTTATTATTATTCGGCTTTTTCCTTCTTTTTATTTTTATCCTTTATTGTGGATTATTTCATAATTGGATTAGGGTCCAGAAGAACCCAAAGAATTTTTCTTTTCTTTTTCCTTTTTACCATTGGGCTTTTTACTATTGGGCTTTTCCATTTTGGATTATAATTGGCTACCTTACCAATTGGATTAAAGTTTAAAAGAATTTGAAGGTCTTGAATAGTTTAAAATGAGTAGGAAACTTATACCCTCTGGCGTCTCTACCTCTACTTCTGCCTCCCCACCATCTGGAGGACAACGTTTAGTCCAGGCAATGTTAAAGCAAAAAGAGACAAATTAGAGACAATATGAGAGTAATCCTGGATACTTTGGAATACTATGAGGCACATCCTGAAAAGCAAATGGCTTTGATATTCCTAGATGCTCAAAAGGCATTTGATAATGTGAACTGGAGATTTATGTTACTACTACTGGAACAGATGAGTTTTGCCAGAAAATTTATTCAAGCAATAGAAGCCATATATCATAAGCAAACGGCAAAGGTAATGATGGAGGGAGAACTTGCAGATTTTATTAATATAAGAAAAGGCACAAGACAAGGATGCCCCCTATCTCCTTTGCTATTTGTATTGACCTTGGAAGTGTTGAATAGAAATATTAGAGATGACAAAAGCATAAAAGGAATGAAAATTAAAAAGGAAGAATTTAAATTGCAAGCCTTTGCGGATGACTTAGCCTTTATTTTAGAAGACCCTTTAGAAACAGCTCCAAAGCTATTGGAAAAGATAGAGACATATGGCGAGGTGGCTGGTCTGAAAATAAATAAAGATAATACAAAGATCTTGACAAAGAATATGCTACTAAGACAAAGAGAAGAACTGGCAGACCTGTTGAAAATCCAAGTCATGAACAAGGTCAAGTATTTGGGGATATACTTGACATCAAGATATAGTACATTAAAAGAGAATAATTATATTAAACTTAAACAACAGATAGCCTTAGATTTGAAGAAATGGGAAAACTTACAATTGTTATTAATAGGGAGAATTTCAACAATCAAGATGAATATTTTACCCAGAATCTTATATTAGTTTCAAACAATACCAATTAGGCTTGGAAAAGACTATTTTGAAGACTTAAATAAAATTGTGCTGAAGTATATATGGCAAGGTAAGAAAGCGAGAATAAAGCTAAAACTCTTGCAAGATGCTAGAATTAGAGGAGGTTTTGGCCTGCCTAATTGGGAGTTGTACTACCAAGCTGCAAATTTGATGTGGGTTAAGGAATGGATAACACTAAGAAAGACTAGATTGTTGACACTAGAAGGTCATGATTTGCTGTTGGGTTGGCACGCCTTTTTATGGTATAAGGGAACTAAAACACAGGGTTATTTTAGAAGACATTATATACAGGAGTCTTTGTGGTTAAACTGGGAGAAGATTAAAAGACAATGTTATTTGAAAATTCCAGTTTGGTTATCGACTATTGAAGCATTTTCCTATCCTATAATTTATAAGAAGGAACAAACAGTTAGATATGGGGAATTATTGGATGAAAAGTGTTGGGTATATGGATACACCAACCAGGTTTGGGTTGAATAAATATGTAAACCTAGGATTAAGTGTCTTGTAGCTTTAAGCACAAGAAACTGCAATGTCACTGTGGGTGCGGTTGCAGGCAGTAATATAGGTAGGAAGGGAAACGTAATAGACCCGGCTTCTGGATGCACCTGGTTCTGTTCCTGGTCTGCTGCCTGCTGTGTTGGAACGTCTATCTGCTTACTCTGGAAGGCTACTGTGCCAGATACCATTTCAACTGAACACAAAGACTGTTTGCTTGGTGAGCTGTGGATTCAGCGTTGTCTTTGAGAGAAAGGTATCGGGAGGAGAAGATTTACAAGCAGATAAGGACATTGTATTTACTGTTAATGGACTTGATAACTGGATGGATATACTGGATAATGATATATGGACTGAATGACACTTCTTAATCTCTGTGTGAATTAAATAACTATTTTAAAACCACAAACAGTGTTTTTGTCTCCAGTGTGTGTATACTCTTGGGCCCACTCTCTCTCTCATTTGCCTGCCTGGCTTGACTGCTGCTGCATACTCTGCTTGGGGGTTTATCCCCAAACACTAACAAAAAGGGTGGACTTAAATCGATGCAAAATCTAGAGGAACAAGGTATAAAGATGAACTGATGATTGCTTGGGGGAAGAATTTTGGATATGGGATCGATTTAGAGAAATGGCAAAAACTATGGTCGCAAAATTATAAAATGACAATGTCAACAGCTTATTAAAAAAATGTGTATAAGATGTTTTACAGGTGGCACTTTCCCCCGACAAGGATAGCAAGAATGTTCAAGAATAAATCTGAAAAATGCTGGAAATGTCATCAGATACCTGGCTCATATTACCATATGTGGTGGACTTGTGAGGACGCTAGAAAATATTGGACTAAAATTCGCATGTGGTTGGAAAAAATGACAAAGAAACACATAGATTTGAAACCGGAGGTTTTTTTTATTGGGAATCTTACCAGATACATACAGTAAAGAATTGAAATATCTGATTGTAAATATATTAACAGCGGCTAAGATTGTATTTGCTAAAAATTGGAAAAATGAGAAAATACCATTGCAGGAAGAAATTATTAAGAAAATATTGGAATGTGCTGAGATGAGTAGATTGACATTTGAAATTAGAGAGCAAGAGGATAAACAATTCTATAAAATTTGGGACCTTTTCTATCAATGGTTGGATGATAAAATACAATAACAGAATATTTAGAATGTTAGATAACAAGGAATATCTTTGTTTTTTCTTTTGTTATTTGACATCATATCTATAAAGTGTTTTTAGGATAGTTTTGGTATGATTATATGATTTGTTATAGAATAAACTACCTAAATTATAGTTATCTCATAAAGTATGAATGAATAAAATCATAGTCAAATGATTTTCTAAAAGTGATACTAGGATATATAAGTTTGGATTGATAATATGAGTTATTATGTAATGTAACTGTAATTGAGACTATGAAATGAATGCACAAAACAGATGAACCAACCGACACACTGCTTGTATATATGTATGGAAGAGAGCTGATGTTTTTATGTTCTGTTTGTTTTGTTTGTTTTTAAAAAACCAATAAAATTGTTTTCAAAAAAATAAAAAATATAATAAAGGAAGTAAAGGAAATACATTAAATCACATTATATTACATTACATTCAGGATTAGTTTTGCTTTTTTCATTTTAATGTAGCCATTGTATCTTTATCACTATCCCCAAGTGTCAACTTACAGATTTACTTACTAAGTAATCTCCTTTACAGAGTTGGTCTAGTCGGATATATACAGCCGCAGCAACCGAGTTTGGCATTTCTCCATAGGCTGTAGAGTGTGATTTCTGTCTGAATACTCCTGATACAACGTTCTGCACCATCTCTTGTTCTTCAGATGGTACCGGTTCATGAAGGATGCTTGAATTTAAACAGATAAACTTATATATTAACTCTTTCTTGGTCTATGTAAGGTTTTACTTTCAAAGTCCAATATTCTCCCCTCTGAATTCAGAAGAACCAAATTTTAAAAAAACAAATCAAAAACAAGGAACATCTTCAAAACAAGGCAGCCCCTGCTTTTATTTTCTTTCCCTATATCAGCCCTTGGAGAAAGATCAAATCAGGAAGCAAATTCTGCAGGAGAACCAGAATTTTACTTTATTTAGGTGGGTTCTAATAAAAACTCCTGCAAATTTGATTCTGTTTATTTCTCCCCTTTCTCTTATACCCTGGGAGGCAGGGAGGATCCAACCTGAGTCTCCTCTTAATGCAGTCTCCATTCCCAAGATTTAAGGAATGCATCTGTCATCAGTTTCTCAAGATTTGCTTCAAGGCCATTTCCGTGGCTCTCTATATCCTAACGTTCAGATGAGTCTAAACCGCAAATCTCACAGTCCCCAGCCAGCACACCCATGTTGGACAGCAGGAAGAAGCAACCTAGAACTAAGGAGAAATTTCCTGACAGTTAAAACAATGAATCAGTGGAACAACTTCCATCCAGATGTTGTGAATGCTCCAACACTGGAAGATATAAGAAGAGATAGGACAACATTTTTTTCTGAAATAGTATAGGCTTTCCAGCCTGACAGTGGGTTGGACTAGAAGACCTCCAAGGTCCCTTCAAATTGTTATTCTGTTAATCTGCAGGGAATCCAGTTAAACAAAATTGCTTTATTACAGTCACCCTCTAGGTGGTTTACAAATACACATATAAATCAGTTAAAGTAGGTAAAAATATATAACCTCATAGGCAGCCTGGACTAAAATAATCAAAGAATAACAACTCATACCAGGGGCCACACAACTGCAGGCTGGGGACAAAGCTAGGTCTGAAGCACTTTTTGGAACCTTAGGGGAGAGGGTGCTGTGCGCATCTCTGGGGAGATGTTGTTGCAATGGACATATCCATGACAGAGAAGGCTTGCTCCCTCCCGCCCTCCCTCCCTCCACCCACCCACCCACCCATCCATCCATCCATCCATCTATCCATCCATCTATCTATCTGTGCTCTCCTGTCCAGCTTCACGTGTCGTGTGAATCCAACCACTTGGGCTGTGGAGTGGGAGTGGAGGCTGGCAGGCAAAGTCAAGCATTAGAGATCCATACAAAATAAGGCAACTCCAACCTGGATCCTATCGGGGAGACCCCCCCTCTTTGCTCTCCCTCTCTTCCTCCATGGCAGGGGCGGGGCAACCTGAGCGCAGCTCCCTCCTCAGAGGTGACCAGCAAGCGAACAAACATGGTGCTCTGGCTGGGAGGCAGCGGCGTGGAGCCCCACCTCTGGCCAGTGAGAGCAGAGCAGGCAGCGCATGCATTTTCCCCTTCACTGGCATTGGCTGGGAGGGATGTGTGAGCCGAATGTTTGGAGTTGCGCTTGGCAGACTTTGCAAGTGGGCTTGGCAGGGCCGCTTAGCGGGGAGATCCCAGCCCATTTGGTTTGCTTCAGCATGGGGTGGGAATGCAGAAGGCAGAGGAAATCCATGCCTCTCCATGTTCAGCCCTCAAAGACTCCTTTGGAGCAACTTTTTCTGCTTTTAAAACATTACGTTTAGCAACAATAAAAAGAAAAACTTTTGTAATAGCATTTCTCTTTCCCTCCCTCCCTCCCTTCTCTCTCTCTCTGCCTCCCTCTGTTCCCCCCACCCCCCGGGAACTGTATGCCATATGGCAAGCAAGTGCCCAAATTGGTCAAAAGTCTCAACTTCAGGAAACTTGACAGATTCTTCTCTCAGGAGCTTAATAGCAGTGCCCTCAAACAATTAAGATCTCAATCAACAATAGGTAAATTGTCCCTGCTATTCTTTGTACACTCTCAGGTATACAAATAAAAGGCTCTACTTTTTTAGATACAGCAGCTAATTTCATAGATGAGGCCATAATGCAGCAGCTTAAATTGCCCACACTGTTTATCAGAGAAACCTATGTTTGTAGAAACTATTACTTTGAGCTGGTCCTGTTGTACAACACCCAATATTTATTTGTCTGGTTGATTGATTGATTTCTATAGCTAGCAATCTCAACATGCAACTCTGGGCAGGGTACATTATAAAACATTAAAACAATTAAGAAAGTACAAAATAATATTTCAGAATAATATTTCAGGGACTGGCAGAGAAAGAACATCTCCAAGTCCCTACCAGCTAATATTCCTTGGCTAATGGGATATACCAAACCCGCCTGACCAAATTGGATGGACAGAAATGACTGGAAGAAGATAGTCCCTAAGGTGACCTGGCTCCAAGCCGCTTAGCTCCTCTTAAAGAAAAGCTACATTTGGCAAAGGCGGCATTTAAGTGCACCACAGATTCATCCAAGCAAGAGTATGTCAGGATTGCAGTGTGGGATTTGATGTGGCTTTACCCTGGATTTTTACCTTCTGTGCCAATGGTGGGATTCAGCCCAGCATAGGTTTGGGTGAACCGTTAGCTAACTTTCTGAGCAGTTCGGCGGAAGCAGTTGGAAGAAACAGCCTTTTGCTTTTCCCACACTAGACAGTGAATCCTGTCAGGAAGGCAGGGAGGAGACATTCTGGTGTGCCTCTATGTGTTGTTTCTAGCCTAATCCTTATCTTCATTGCCCTTTATTAAGTGTTTTCAGAAACTGCCTCAGCAGTTAAGTCTTGTTACATTATTACAGCTAGTGGTTCTTGGTAGTACACCCAGACTTAATGTAGCCTGAGCTGCTTCTCTGAAGTTTTTTTCTTCTTCTTTGCTGCTTGCTTCGCTTTCTTAAAGGGAAAGGGTTGTTTAAGCTTTTTACACTGCTTTAATGGTGCCTGACACTGTCCTTTTGGGATGTACTTCCAAGAGGCAGGATGCAAGCTTGGCACTGATTTTTTTACTGCCTTTCTGGTGGCATAAGATCTTTCTTTAAATCTGGATGATTTCCTTAGGATATCTTGTGAGGTGAGTGAAACCAGCCGGTATCTTTAAGTAATGCAAATGGATCTAAGGATTGCTTCTCCTGGGTGGGAAAGGGTGCTTTGTCAGTTCACTGAGCACAGGAGTCTCTTGTTTATGGGGATTCTTCAGTAATCCAGGTCATGGTTGTCCAAAGGTGCTTTTTCAAGAGGCAACTGGACTTTCTGGAAACCAAGGAAGTCCAGTTGCCTCTTGAAAAAAGCACCTTTGGGACAGGAGTCTCTTGCATTGCTTTGGAGTGGCCAAGGCACATGATTGCTCACTGATAGATTTTTAAAAAGGAGGTAGGGGTGTGGATCCTCCCTCCAATTCATTGTAGTTTTCTCTCATTATAATAAGGCTTAGTAACATGGCACCAGGCTTGAAGTTTATTTAGATATCTGTGGCATGTACTAATTTTATTGTGATCCTGACAAGCTTGGGAGGGCAGAGACTTGAACCTGGATCCCCTATATACTTTGTTCATTTGTCTCTATTGCTTGGCATTTTGTAACCCAAGCATGCCCACCAGAGGTGGGATTCAGCCGCTTGGACCAGTTCAACTGAACTGGTTGTTAAAATTCTGCCCAGTTTGGTGAACTGGCTAATCCCACCACTGCCTGACCCCAGTTTGGTGAACCGGCTAATCCCACCACTGCCTTTTGAGCCATTTTTCAGGCAAAAAACAGCTCCCAAAATAGCCAAGAAAATGATCTGAAAATGCCCAAAAACAACTGAAAAGTGGGCCCAAAAATGACCCCCAAATGGCCATTTTAGCGGCTGTTTTCCAGACCATTTTTGACTGGGTTTTTTTTTTTTGCCAAAAAAAGCTCAAAAATGGCCTGATAAATGGCCTGAAAATGGCTGAAAAATGGGGAGAAAATGACCCCCAAAGGCCATTTTCAGGCTATTTGGGGGGCATTCTCTGGCTGGTTTTGGGGGGCATTTTCTGGCCATTTTCAGACTATTTCCCAAGCCATTTTTGGCCATTTTTCAAGCAAAAAATGCCCCCCAAATGGCCTAAAATGGCTCAAGTCTGAAAAGTGGCCCAGAAAAAGGTCCCGAAAACAGCTGAAAAATGGGCCAAAAAATGACAATTTGGTGTAAAAGTGCCTACTCTGATGAAAATTCATGCAGTCTTTGGCAAAGCGAAAAACTGGCCTCCAACAGTATTTCTATGATTAGTTTATCTTCTACACAACTGTATCAGAGACTTAGTTCTTGGCCTGTATCGTGCTTGGACTCCAAGACAGCTTGCCTTCAGCAAGGCCTCAGACCTCCCAGCAATGAAAACAAAGCGCCAAAAAATATGCCATCCTTCAGAGACCCATGCAATGCTCTTCATACCTTTTCTCAGGCTTCTGCTCATCTATCACTACACTTTTACAATTCTTATTGGAGCGACAGATCTGCTTTTCATAGCTTTTATAGTTTTCACGGGATAAATTCTTCCTCTGTAAGTAATAGGTTTTCAAGTCCCTCAATTTGTGTCCGGAGTAGGAGTTCCACATACTGCTTTTGAATCTATCAACACAGGCAATATCTGGAAAGTGGGGCGAGGGGAGAGATATTGCAGAGGTTATTCAGTCAAAGTCTATCCTTTGCTTTCATACCTGGATAGCTTTTAAAATCAGGAGTTAAATTAGAACTTTTTCACCTTTCTTGTTTGTTCTTACAGTGTTTTCATCCATGCAATACTGTATTAAGATTCAGGCAGAACATGGAAAAGGCAAATAAATATGATAAGAGTGAAGATTTGATAAAAGTGCTCCATGCAGTTGAAGCAAAAAAGTTATTAAAGCCAAATGCTGATTCTGAAACTTAGAAAAAAAGGAAAGAATAGCTTTCAGTTGTGAAGAATGGATGTTTTTCTTGTTTTTGTCTCTCTATTCTTCAGTAAACTTTGAAAATGATAAATAAATAAATATTTTCCATTTTTTCCTCCCATTTCCCATTTCCAATATTTTACCTCAGAATTCACCGCACCCTCTCTCTCTATGATTAATGCCATGTATAGCGTAGGATATTTTAAATAAAGGCCCTACTTCACTTATTCTTTTCCTTCTTAGTTTAGGTGGGCTTCAAGTATTTTTGCTGTACCTTCCTTAAATAAGTAAGTCGTTCTCCAGTGTGCTGACAAGAGAAACCAGGAATCAGTTAATTCTGTCTCATTGCTCATTATACTGAGTCTGTCAAACTTGTGTGGACACGCCTCCCTTGCCTGCTATCCCCAGTTTTGACTCAGTCTTTAGCTCATACAGATGTATATTAATTAGCTCCAATATTTCTAATGAGCAAGGGACAAACGTCCCATTCCTAGGGTTCTTTTTTGGACAGGGAAACAACGGCTTCCTCCAGCACTTCGCTGAGGATGCAAACTGACAGGCAGGATTCCTAGTTCCGACCGGCATAGCCATCTCAGATCTGGTCCAGGACAGCAGACCAAGGCCCCTCAGATCTTCCCATGGCTGCAGAGGGGGCTAGAGTCAATGCCCGGTCTACCAGTGCATACTCTTTGATGCTTTTGGTTAGGCGAGGCAGCAGAGTTTCCGAATGTGTCTGCCTTTCAGGAGCCACTCCCAGCTGGAGTGAATTGTCAGGCAGGCTCCCTGATTCCGACCAGCATAGCCACCTTAGATCCAGTCCAAAAAAGCAGACTGAGGTCCCTCAGATCTTCCCACAGCTGTGGAGGGGGCTAGAATCACTGCCCGGTCTACTAGTGCACACTCTTGATGTCAGCAGAATTTCTGAATGCCTCTGCCTCTTTAGGAATCGGCTCCAGCAGAATGGAAGCCTCCGTGACTACTGGGAACCGTCTAGTGTCTGTAAGTGTGACTGAACTGTGTCTGTCACCACAGCCTCAGGCTCTACCAAAATGCTCCTCAAAGCCTAAATCAGTGGTGACAAGAGCAGCAGCCCAAATCAGGGCAAAAGCCCGAGCATCTAAAAAGCCCACAAAGGCTGAGGAAAAGGATACGAGGAGAAGACAGAAATCCCTAGACAAAGAAATAGCTAAGGCATTAAAGGAGGCAGAGTGGCGAGGGAAAGTAGATTCCCCAGGAGGTGACACTGCCCTTTCACGTGCATTTTACACTAAGCCGTTACAACCTTTAAATGAGGCTAGGCAAATAAACAACTCACATTCCCAGACATGGTCTCCAGATGGTGCTGGAGAGCAGTCATCTCAGCAATGCTTTACATTGCCTGGCAGCAATGAGGCCTGTTTCAATCCTGTTCAAATCTGCTTCCAGCAACAGGACATTGGGAACAGCTTTTGAGAAGGGTGAGGCCTACCCCAGAGGCCACCTTTACCCCCACAATGGCAGGGCTCCACCCAGGGGACAGCCAAAAACCTGAAATTCCCTCTAATATGAAGTTTTTGATTTCAGAAGCCATTAAACAAGGGATTGCTGCAGGCTTGCAGCAAAGCTAGCAAGTAGCCTCTGTGGCATCTGATTTCTCCCTGCACCAAGGGCAGCATCAGCCAACCCAGGTTCCAAGGGATTCCAAGGCCCTCCAGAGGCCTTATTCTCCCACACCCTCCATGCAGAGCTGATCATCACTCTATGATGAGGAGGGGCAGAAAGAACTGGAACTTTCTGAAAAGGAAGGAATAGCCCTGGACCACCCGGCTTTCACAGGCCTTTTTCACCCTACTTTGTTCAAATCTCTCCTTTGAAGGCCAAGAACACAGCTTGGTTGGGAGCAGATTCAGCTACCCCAGATCCAATCTTGGATTTAGCTGACCCAAGCAAATTACTTTTTTCAGAACCGCCCACAGAGGCTGAAGTGATTCCCTTACCAAAATTATTTCTGGGTGTGGACCAGCGGCAATGGGTCTCACCAGGGACATATCCCAAACTGAGTGGGGGTGACAAGACGTTTTATAACGTGGCCCCGGAACTCACTGAGGCACTGCAAATACCAGCAGTAGATGGGCTGGTGGTGGTCTTGGCATCCTTCTCTGTCATACCTGCTGACACAGAGAATGTCCTAAAAGCAGACAGGAAGGCAGAGCTGACACTCCATAATGTCCATCAGATGTCTGCTTGGGCAGTCAAGGCGGCTACGGACACCTCTCATTGTTCTGGTTTTGGCAGATGCAAGATAGAATCTGGTGACCTCTGCACTCACCAGGACATAAACTTGCAGTGGCCACAGAATTCTTGGCTGATACCACTCTGAATGCTGCAAAGTTTGCTTCCAGGGTCATTGCTTCATTGGTGACAGTCCGCCACCTGTTGTGGCACCGGCACTGGCAGCCAGACACAAAACACAAATGGAAGCTAGCCTCTGCTCCCTTTCAAGGGAGACAAACTGTTTGGCGAGTTCTTAGACCCCATTCTGGTGGAGACAAGGGACAAGAGGAAGATACTACCATCCCTATTCAGGCGAGCTGAAAGCTGCCCCTCGCCTTATTTTCATAGGCCCTCATTTAAAACAGATCTGGCTTTCCACATAGGGCTTACTTTCAAAGACATAATCACCAGCCTGATAGATCTGGGTACAGAGATAGGAACAGGCAGCAATTCCAGGCCAAATGGTGATTTCGTGGTGGCGGAAGTTGTCCCTTTTGCTGCTCCAAATGACTGCATGTCCAATGCTCCCATTGGTGGCCCCCTAAGCCTCTTTGCCGATCAATGGGAGGAAACTACAACAGGCACATGGGTCCAGGAGATGGTGAGATCAGGTCTCACCCTCAAATTCCTTTCACACCTCCGAGGTTCTCCATTTATTGCCCCATCTCAAAAGACAATACAAACAGAGGTCTCAGGGAGACTGCAATCCAGCACTTCTTGGACATTCAAGCTATTCAACCAGTCCCAGAGGACCAACAGGGGCAGGGATTCTACTCCATCCTATTTTGTAATCCCAAAGTCCTCGGGGGGAGTGAGTGGAGAGCAATTCTGGACCTGAAAAGACTAAAGCAACCATCTGACTTACAGGTGATTCAAGATGCAGTCCCTCTAGTCCATACTGGGGAGCATCTGAGAAGGAGACTTCGTTACATCCAGAGACCTGACAGAGGCATACTTCCACGTGCCTATCCTGCCATCCCACTGGCGGTTCCTACACTTCTACTATACGGGCCATCACTATCAGTACAAGACCCTACCCTTTGGACTGTCCTCAGCGCCCAGAACTTTCACCAAAATACTGGCGGCACTGGTGGCACACCTCGGGGCATTACTCATTCGTGTCCAATGTTACTTGGATGATATATTGATACAGTCCTCCTCCCACCTTTGGGCAGCAGAGGAACTGAAACTCACAATCAAGGTCCTTCAAGACCATGGATTCTCCATTTCGAGAAGAGCCACCTGGCTCCTACCACCCAATTACTGCACCTGGGGGCAGTCATAGATACCTCATCATGCAAGGTTTACCTATCTCAGGAGTGGCAGGACAGCATAAAGGCTTTGGCGAATCATATCTGTTAGATCGCGGGAATGAGACTCAGGACACCAGCATGATCTTCAATTGTCTTTACTGCCTTCTAGGACTGAGCGCCGAAGAAACCGCAGCAGCACTTTTACAGTCGAGCTGCTTGCAGCTGTGGCCAGTGATGGCTCTTCAAATTTCACGCCACTATGGACCAACCAAAAACAGTTAAGTATGTTAATACATAACACCCCTCCCCACCTGGTCTGGTTCAACCAATCTGAGCCTTGCCTACAGTACGTAATCATGTAGGTAGGTGGGGCTTTTATGGGTTCGACTGGACCTGTGCAGCTCAGTCGCAGTTTGGCCTCTGGACTGCTCGGACGGATCTGTTGTTCCTCCCGTCTGTCTTCTTGGAACCTCTTGGTAGGTTGAGTTGGCCATGCCACTCCCGCCAGGAATTTCCTGGCTGGTTGAGTTGGTTTGGCTGCTCCCGCCAGGGGCTGCTTTCCCGCTATCCTTCTGGATCTGTTTCTGTCTCCCCAACCTGCCTTCTTCCCTGGTCTCAGATACGTGTTTGCGCTTCCCGACCGGGGCTAATGTTAGTAGTGGTTGTTGCGTAGTTGTCAGGGTTTGTTCTGTTGTTTCTCTTGTTTGTGGAGGTTCTCCCGCTCCCTTTCTACTTGTGTTTCGTCTGTTTGAGGGGTCTCCCCCCTCTTCTCTGGTTGTGTTTTGCTTGCTTGAGGGATCACCCCGTCCCCTATGGTCATGTTTGAAGGGTCTCTCCCTTCTTCCCTGGATTTGTTTGAGGGGGTCTCCCTCCTCTTCCGTGGGTTGGTTTGGGTCACCCTTCATAACTCTAGATCTGAGCTGGTCTATGTGCCTCTTCCAGCTCCTCCCGTCCGTGGTGTCTACCCTGTATGAATTGGGTCCAGTTATCTGGGTCACCTTTGCTGGCATCCACAATGGTTCCCCCATAAGATTTTTTGTGTATACTGGGTTCCCTGTTTGAAATGTGAGGCAATTACTAGAGGAATCTGCTGGTTTTTCTGGGCTATATGTAGGTGTGATCTTAGTTTTATTTGTTATGGCACTGGGTGTCATATGCTGTATGCTTAGTAGCTTAACTATCTTTTTTTGTGTGTCTCTAGGCCCCAGCTT